GAGAGAGAGAGAGAGAGAGAGAGAGAGAGAGAGAGAGAGAGAGAGAGAGAGAGAGAACAAGCTAAAAATCAGACAGGAAAAGAAAAGAAATCCGCACAAGGGACCCATCTGTGAGCCCATAAAAGACCTTGAGAACACAATCAGCCTCAGGAGCCATCCGGGATGCAAAGCAGAGCAACAAGAAGCCACGTTTCTCCCATAACACTGGCGATGCTTTGTGAAGACGACAACAATGAAGACAGCAGGTGGCACTGGCAGAAGGTAGGGGAACGGGACTCCCCTACATGGCCAGAACGCAGCGTTGACCCAAGCCCGGGACAGCAACAAGGCAGCCTGCGCATGCGCAGTTGGGAAGGGCTCCCTGCCTGGGAATCCAGGAGAGGGTGTGGGTGGAGGCGCAGACGACCAGAGCCAGACTGAGAAAAGCCTCTGTCCTGAGACATCAGCTAATCACCGCGACAGCCACTCCAAGATGGGGCGACCCTGCCTCCGTCTTTGAGGAACGCAGAGCTCTGTGAGACCGAGGCCCCTCAGGTTGGTTCTCGAGTACACAGGGCGCGGTGCCCACAACCAACAGTTGTTAGACCGACGACTGGGTTCATGCTTCTTGGTGTGGAAAATGCTAATGATGTCTAATTCAGACTATAAAACGATTACATTCTGCAAGCCAACACACTCAGTTTCCTCCTTCCTTCATTTTGTTTGGGGGAAGCACAGGCCCACTCTCAGTCGATAAGTTAAAGTGAATCGTGACAATCCTATTATCTGTTGCTAGGGATGGACGTACGGTCCAGTTATGGCCAATGAGATCTAAAGAGGAGGGTCTAGTTCAATCCTCGGTACCAAAACAAAAACCAAAAAGCAAAAACAAGAACAAAAAAAGAAGAGGGTCTATCTGCAAAACGTTTTGGTTTGCTAATAACAACATGCGGAAATGATTGCCGTTAGTGGCCTTCAATATAGATGCAGTGGCTGGAGCTGCAGCAGACATTTTGCAACCTTGAGGGAAATTCTAAGGGAATCACAGAGGCGCTAGACCTAACACTGTCGAGCAGGGTACCATACGTGGCAACCTCAGGCACTCTACCAATGTGAGAAAAATTAACCTGTATTTTTAAGCGATTGCACTTGCAAACCAGACTACACTCTCAGTAGGGACAGTACAATCCCACAAATACCTGTATTGCACAAATAAAGAGAACAAATGGAGTGGTTACGCACAGGCAGTGGGGTTCTCCATCATATTTTTTAATCTTACATGGTCCTTACAGTGAGCATGTAAATAATGATCAGAAATACAACATTTACGTTCAGAAAATGATCCTGTTTAAAAATAAAATACTGAGTCACCAAGAAGCAGTACCCTCCTGACCACCTAGGGCATCCTGGCAGTCCGGGGTTCATGTCCCCACAGGGTGTGGCCCCAGCCTTAGGAGGGGAGCAGGGGAGACTCCATGGTCCCTGGGGGCACAGGCAACTCCTGGGCTCCATGCTGGGCGTGGTGCCCCTCCGAGCTGCAGGACCTGAGGTCAGCCCTGCCTTCCCTGAGCCCAGCCCAGTGCCTTCTAAGGCCCGGGGTTGTGAGGTGGACCACAGCGCTGGGGTCTGAGGTGTGCTGCCTGCAGCAGCTGTGTTAGCTGTAAACACAGGTTTAGAGAAGCGCTGGCTTCTCCTCCCACGACAACCCAGACTGTCTCTGTCAAAGTGACCCTGGGGGAAGGCAGAGGAAAGGGAAAAATGGCAGCAAAAGCTAAAGGAGAAAATATCCCGAGAGAACAAGGTGGGTTCTCAGCTCAGCAAACACTCTGGGCTGCAGCTTGGGGACCAGACTGAGTAAGAACAGCCAGCATCTCCTGGCAGTTCTGAGCCACAGACACCCGGAGGAGAAACCCAGGCCAGGGAGCAGCGCGAATACCCACAGTCACTTCATCACAGGGGACACAGGTCCCCAGGGGTGGTTCCAGGACAGTGTGGTGGTGACACCCTCCTGCCCACTTCCACCCATCCTTTAGAGAGGGTACACAGGGCTGGGGCAGCCAGCTGTCCCCATAGCCCTCCGTTTCCTTCTCCTCCCTGCCCCAAGCCCCGAGCTGAAGTCCTGTGCCTGCACCCTGAAGAATGGGGTGCCAGCCGCTGCCACCTGGAGTGGGGCCCTGAGTCCCTGTGGGGCCCCCCGCCTCAGGTTCCTCACCCTGTGAAGGGACAGCAGTCCTGCCTGTGCCCCAGGCCATCCGGGTGTGGATTCCACAGCACTGGCTGGCTTCCCAGTAGGAGGGGATGGAAATATTTTGGCCTGGGAGTGAAGGCGAGGGCCCCAGATGCCAGGATGGCACATTCCCCAGGCCACCCCATTGCCCGGGGCCCTGGCTGCTGGGGCCCTACCTGGGGCACGCACCTGACCTTGGGACACCTGGAGCACACCGGTGCCTGCCTGTGGGTCCTGTGATCTCGAAGCCGTGTCCAGGTGACTCAGCTGGGCAGGTGGGACTCCACGGGGCCCACTGCAGACCCCGTCCTTCTGTACCCACCCAAGGACAGACGTCCTCCGCTCTGTGCTGTGAAACAGCATTTCTAGTTCTGTCACCTCACCTGGCTTCTCTGCCTCGGTGAAGTCAGAGCTAACATCACCATTTTATTGGAGAGGCAACTGAGGCTCAAAAAGGGCGAGTTGTGCTGAGTCACACGGGTTTGGTGGTAAAGCGAGATTCAAACTGGAACATGTCCCCTCTGCCACCAAGGCCTGTCCTGCCTTCTCAAGCCCCTTCCTTCCTTCCTCCGCACCACGGCTATGCTGTCACCTGCCCTGGGTCTGAGCTTGCCATCACTCTGCCCCGCGCCAACCCCTCCTCTGGGCTGCACCTCACACCCCTAAGAGAGGGCTCTGAAGCCACTTTCCAGGCCACCCAAAGGGGACCCAGGGGGTGGCTGCAGGAGCTCCAGGGGACAGGGGACAGACTCAGGTGACAATGTCACTGGCTCTTGACAAAGAGGAACCCGGGAGCACAGGAGACAGCTCAGGGAGGGCTGCTTGCGGGAAGTAGCCTTGTGGAGGGTCTGAAGGACACGTGGGGGTCATGCAGGGAATACCCCAGGAGAAGGGAGCACGTGCGCTACATCGCAGACACCTGGCGGCTGCAGCATGGGAGGGGAGGCGGGGACCACTGGGGCAGCACCAACTCTGGGAAGGATCTGAGGTGACCATGCTGCGGTGGCCTTGGAGTGGCCCAGGGGGCACATGCCACACTCCTGACATTGAGGACATCGGAAGGTCCCACATTTCTTGCTGTGACGCAGGCAGCCGCACATCCCTACCACTCAGGGAGCTGCAGAGCAGGTGCAGGGCCTCCTAACTCGAGCTCACCCCTGCACCTTACTGTGCTTCCCTTCCGTTTTTATTTTTTTCGGGAGCTCTTGCCACAGCTGCACACACTGAACAGCTGACTGTCTTGTTCATCGGCTGGTTCTTACCCTGAGAGCAGGGCCTGTGCCCTTGAGGGAAAGGAGTCTGTCTGTTTGTCTTGTTCCCTGCTGTTAGCCAGTATCTGTAACAAGTCAATGACCGAGGGGGCTTTGTGCTGGCTTTTTGTTTTGGTTTGTTTTCCAAGCTAGGAATGGAACCAGGGCTTCCATATGTTATGCTAGTGCTATACCATTGAGCTACACCCTGGCCCTAATTTAATTTAATTTAATTTAAGTTTTGGGCAGAAGAGACCTGAGCATGCGCAGGGTCTGTCAGGAAGAGGGGAGAGCAGGGCTTGGTTCCACTTTCTCTTCGCAGTGGCAGGCAGGGGCTTCCTGGGAAGACAGGGCAGGGGAAAGGCAAGCCAGGAGTGTGTATGTGTGTGTGTGTGTGTGTGTGTGTGTGTGTGTGTGTGTGTGTGTGTGTGAAAGCATTGCTGAGGATCAAGATCCTCCTTTTTCATAACCTTCCAGAATCCCCCGGCCCTGAGGAAAGGTCTGTGCTTTGCCTGGGCCTCAGGAGACGTTAAACACCAGCCTCTGCTCCCAACTTCCCGAGTGAAGCCCTGCACTGCCCCCTCCAGGTGCTACCTTCTGCAGCTGGGCCACAATGGCCAGCTGCCTCCTCCTGGAAGAGGGCCCCATCCACTGCCCACCGCCGGCCCCCAGGCCCAGCCTGCTGTGCTCTGTCCTGCCCCCTTGTGGGCAGCGACTATCACCTGATCCTGACAGCAGGCTGTGGCTCCTCAAAGGGCACTGGGCGCCCTCTGCTGGACCACTGGGTACGGCGGCCACTCCAGGGAGAAGCCTGGCTCTCTGGCCTTCCCCTCTCTCTCTTCTTCCTTCTGCCCTGACCCCTGGACATCCAGGCCCTTCACGACAGCCCCCACCCCGACCTCAGCAGCCTCACCACATGTCCTGCCTTCCTTGCTCTAAATGTCCCTGTCTCCAAGGACCCAGTGGCCTGCTTTCCTCCCCCGAGCCTGAGGTCAGAAATGGATCCTCCTGCTCCGGGCTGTGGCCTCTTCCAGCTCACCGTCCTCTGCGGCCGTAAACCTCAGGGGACTTGGCCCGCTCACCGCTCCCCCACCACCTGCTGCCTCCTTCTCCCCAGGAATTGCGTCTCCCGGACCACGTGGCAAACACCCCATCTGCCCACTGCCACCCCTGTCTCCGAGCCTCCCCTCCAGCTGCCTCTCACCTCAGCCTCAGCGTAGATGCTGCAGTCCAGCCTCGCGCCCTCCTTCGCTCATACCCCTGCTCGCACGCTGACTGCTTTTCTTACCGAGGGGGTCATTCTGCGTAAACCTGACCCCTGCTCTCTGCTCCCCACTCCCGCCAGGTGCTGAGCACATGAGAGAGAAACACTCATGCCTCTTGGCCCACCTGACTGGCTACTGTGAGCCTCTGCACCTGCTGCTGCCCTGCAAGCCCACCAGCCTCCCAAACCCATTGCTTTGCCCCGCTGCTTTATTTTTTATCTAAATAAAAACTTGCATCCTAGTTATGCTTTGCAGGCGATATTCTGAGCATGTTGTGAGTCTCAGCTCATTCAGTTCTCAGGAAACTGTGAGTGTATCAGTGATGTTTAAACGGCACTGGTGATTTTCCTTGCCACTCCACAGAGGAGCAAATGGGAGACAGGAGGAGAGGACCTGCTGCAACCCCTCACCCCAGCCCCTGCCATGCTTCCCTGTCCAGCTGTCCGCTGGCTCTGGCTTCCTGCCCCGTGGAAAGCACAGATGTAATGAAGACAGAACCCTCGCCGGCTCCCACCTCCACAGGGGCCTGGTTCCCACCTCCTCCCACCACCTGTCTGTGGCTGTGGATAATGCAACTGTCTGTCTGTGCCCCACTGTAA